AACTGTGCTAGCCCTTAATCATGTTCTAATTAACAGTGTCACTGCATCCAACACACGCCTTTCTTACTAAAGGTGCTGGGTTATGTAGGCTTAATGCATAATATCGAAATGCCGGTGCCTTTCCTTCCACATGTACCTCTGAGTTCATTAGAGAAAAGAATTGTCAACAATTCTTCTGCTGGGGAAATTTCTGTTAATATTGCATAGGTATGTAAATGCTGTTTATTAATCAACTTTCAATTGAAAGGTAGCTAGCCACAGTAGGATCCGTCTATAGATACTAGGCAACTTGGGGATTGGTGAGCTCATCACATGCAACATCTGAGATCGGACACTACCCACTTAAAGTTGAAACAGGCATTAAGATTTCTAAGAATTCACGTTGCATTGATTGCGATGAGTCAATGTCAGCAATTGTTTCCCCTTTTTATACATGCCATGACCAAGTGGCATGCGGTAGTGAGTTTCAGCAGAAATGTAAAGCTCCTGTCACTGGCTTATGATTTATTTGCATTTTTTATTTCAACATTTAAGTTCCACTCTCTTAGCAAATTCCAACGATAGAATAAAATGTTACCAACTACATCACCATGTTACGCATTAGATCCTGAGGCCTTGTTCATCTCATGACTGAAATACAGCATCCTTGCATTTATATGTCTTTTATGGAAAAATAATGTCTGTTCAGGTGCTTTGTCCATTTTTTTAATTGAACTTTTTGGGGTTCTTTTGCTATTGAGTTGTAGGAGTTCCTTATGTATTTTCATATTTAACCCCATGTGGTTTACATGGATTTTCTCCCCTTTTGCAGTCTGCTTTTTTATTTTGTTGGTGATTTCCTTTGCTGTGCAGAAGCCCTTTAGTTTGATGTAGTCCCGCTTGGTGAATGTTACTTTGGTTGCCTTTGCTTTCAGTGTTTAGTAAGTTGATCTGACTTTACTGGGTTCTAATATTTACTGGACCTTTTTCTGAGAGAGAATAACACACATCTCAGTTAATGTTCAATGCGACTTACAGTATGATCTGTGGTTTTCCCTGTATTACTAATGAGAAAACTCAGGGCTGGTGTTGGAAGCTACTTTCTCTGGGTTAGTCATCACAGAGCTGTCAGAGCCAAATCACAATGATTCTGACTCCACATTCCATGGTCAAAACCACTGGGCTACATTTTCCCCCTATTTTCTACGTAAACAGTGCTTTTCTACATTCTACTGTAATATAGATCAAAAGCTTAAAAAATTGCTGTGGATAATAGAAAATATGAATGCGGGCCAAAGTAATTCAAGGGTGGTCCATCCAGTAACCCAGCAGGGTCACTGTATTTGTAGCTAAAACTCTGTGGGATGCAGTTCATGTACCTTTGGCTAGATTTAGTCACACATTCATTTTTACTAATGTGGAAATGTTTGCCGAGCCTCCGTAGGAGCAAGCGTGATACTACGCGCCATGAGAGCTATAAAGAAAAAGGAGGCATTGTCTCTCTCTCTCTCTCAAGAACCCTGCTATATAATAGGGTCGAATGCATGAAATGATAACTGTTGTGCAAATTATGCACAGATGTATGTTCTAGAGGGTTCTGTTTCACCTCTACGCCCCTGAAAGGACGTAACCAAGACATCTCTACTTACGTACAGGAGAATTTGGGCTGATTTGTTAAAAGCATTACCTTAAGCACAACCGATGTTTTGAAGTGAATGAGGCTATCACACCAAATTAATAGTTTTCCTCTTAGAGGTGTTCCTGCTCCAGCTCCTAAAAAAAGAATTTTAAAAAAGGGTTGATTGACTGTCCCATTGTAAAGTATGCACCTGCTGTGAAATGAAACCACACAGGGGAAAAAAAGTTGAATAATTTAACTTTTTTATTTGTAAAGATAATCAGGGTTTTTCTGATTACATCTTAACTTCATAAATGTTAAATAACCTATCAGCATCTAGTTGTTGTAAATTATGAAAAGGAGCGTTGCGAGGAATATTAACCAACGAAACCCTTGTTCTTTAGTGAACAAGAAAATGTGTTACGGCAGCTTGTCATTGTGTGCCTGGTAAGTTTGACACCAAATAACAAAACTGCCATTTGCACTTAGGGTAAATTGGTTCACTTGAGCTTACTCGGCTGCTCTTGGTCTGACATAAATTTATGAACTCGGGAACTCACCAAGGCACGGGGCTCCCCAGCTGGCTTTAGCAAATATGCCCATTTCATTTCATGTCGTTGTCAGAATACCAGGGGGCTAGGGCGGTTCAGACTCACTGCAGATGGTGCTGGATCGGCAGGGACACGGGAGCTTTCATGTCACGGTCCTGCAGATTATGACAGGGGAGGGGGCCCTCTTTCCTAAACGCATGTCAGCGTTCGACATGTTCACAGCTTCAAGGAGCAATTTCTGTTTCAACACCTCATAGGTTTAGGTAAAGGATGTTTATTTCCAGTTAACCAAGATGTGAAAAATAGATTTTCCAGGTTCGTGCTTTGGCTAGACAAGTTCAAACCCAGATCAAGATTCTGTCTGTATTTGAAAAGTGGCGGAGTGCCCTCTTGTTCCCTGACCCCCTAGGAGTCCTGTCTTTTTATGCAGAGCACTTTCTGGAAGCAGACCAGCAGGTGCAGGATGAAGACATACAGTAAAGGCAACCTCAGACAAAGTGAAGGGAAGACGGCTCTGAATTACTGCTAAGGATGGAAAGTGGAGCATCTTCCTAGTAGTGTGACTTGATGGTGCCCACGGGTACACAAAAATAAAACTAGATAACAAAATACTGTTGCAGAGACATTTACCTGGATGGAGATAACATTTATTTGGAATTGGAATAGCAGCTTTCACGTAAAAGCTGGGTTCGGAATTGTTTGACCGATGTAAACATGGTCAGAGTGGTGGGTTTTATTTCATTTTCTTCCCTTTTATTTGGTTTTGTAGAGATTTGTCATTTATAAGCACTTTCTGTGCAGCAGGAATATAGTAAAATGCTTTGCATGTGTCTGCTAATTTCATCATCACAGCTCTTGACGGGGTAGCTATTGGTACCATCACCCCACATATGAACACAGTGGCGTTCACAGAGGTGAGGTCATTGACCAGGGGCAGATAAGCTCCGAGGAGGGATACGGTCTGAATCCATTCAGTGGCTAGTCTCCTTGGCATATTTTTAAAGGTGTGTTTGTCAAATTTTTCTTCGAGATCCACCCTAGGGACAGAGGAGACAGAACAAACATTTATTCAATCAACCAACATTTATTGAGCTGCAACTTGGTGCTAAAATCTAGGCATGAACACTACTTTGGGTAGGAAATTTAAACAGTCTCTGACTTTATGAAGTTGGCATTATCATGGTATTAAATGAGATTGTGTATGTTGTCTTGCATTGAATAGGAATGCAATGAAATGTCTGTTTTCATTTGTGCCATTGCTGAAACCACACAGCAACTTTCAAACTGGTTTCCTTACGTCCTGTCTCATGTTTTGAACCCAACAGTTGCCTGCCAGCAGGATCATCTTCCTAAAAAATATGTTATATCATGTTATACCTTCAAAGTCTCCTTGTTACTGATTGTGTATAGAGCTCACATTTCTTAAAGAAATAATTGATCAAGTTTAGACGTTGCTCAAGTTTGAGAGAGAAGAAAGCAGGGTGTATTCCAAGAGTCATACTCTAAGGGTCTCACTCTGTGGCCAGTGGTGTAGGGAGGAAAGTCTAGAAGAACAGGTTTGGGGGTAGAAAATAGAGTAATTCTGTTTTGAGCCTGTCAAGGTCTCTGTGAAGTAGACTGTTTAAAATGCAAATTGGAAATACAGGAGAGATAGAAAGATGGAATTAAGGATTTAGGAACCAATGATAGAATAACAGTAATTTAAGCTATCAGGACAAATGCAACGAACAGTTGAACTAGGAGGCTCTACCTTTAAAATAAAAATTCTCCTTGTGGGTTCAGCACAACCCAGCACTTTTCCAAAGGAAGCATGTGATCACTCCTTCCGCTTATGATCAGTTTTTCCTTCACAGACTCCTTATCTTCTTCTCTCTCACTCAGATTTGTGAGCATCTCTGGTGTATATAGCTCTTTTGCCCTTTTTATGCTGGGGATATATCTACAAGAGCATAACCACATTGCATTCCTCAGCCCTCGTCTCTCGTGGGTTGAGTCCTGTGCTGTAGATGTCGTTGTTTCTATAGCAGAGTTAAACCAAGGTGCTACAAAGGTAGAAAATCAAACCCACAAATGTTAGAAGCATCCAATCAATGAGAGAACATAGTGGGAAACCTTATTACATTCTTCACTCAAGGCCCAGTCCTTTACTTGAACCAGTGTGTGTGTTCTTCATGACCAGATAAAATATACGGGCATTTAATTAAGTGAATAGATTGTGAAGAGGCTCAAATGACAAGACTTTCATTCTTTGGGAAGCATTGGTGGAGAATGACAGTTTCTGAGCCCCAATTTCCTATGTATTTAGACCCATGAGTCTTACCGACAGAGTGGACTGTCCTGACTCAGTAATTAATGTTCTGGGCACCCACTAGGCAGTCTAGGATTTGGAGATTTTATGGGCCATTATGTCAAGAATCCATGTCAGACTGGATGCGTACACACTGCCGACAGAAAAATTATTGTCACAAGCAAAAGTGGTTGGGGTTTTTTATGTACTTTAAGAGTAAAGTAAGCCTAGGAAAAATATATGATACCATTTCTAATTGTCTTGTATGTTTTAAGAGGTAAAATGTGCCTTTGGTTTTATTTGTCTGCAGAGTATATCTTTGAAAAGAACTATCATACTTCATTTTTAAATAGGCAATGCCCATTTTTTACTTTTGGAATATGCACTTTAAATTTTTTTTTAGTTTCAGTTTCATGTTGTGATTATTTGCCATATGCAGCAATAATATACCTTTACGTTGCAAAAGTTTAAACATATGTTGTTCATATAAGACAAACATTTGTTGACCATTCTGTACAGCATACACATGTGTTTTTACTCTCTCTCTCTCTCTTTCTCTTTAAAGGGATCCTTATCCCCCAAATGCCTGTGGAGTTCAATGTCTTACTGAACACTGGAAGCGAGGCACCTCTCTCCTTCCCTGCCGGTCACCGTCGGTCTGCCTTGCTGGAAAACTTGATTCCATTCACACAGTATGAGATCAGGATACAAGCATGTCAAAATGGTGAAAGTCTCTCAGACACTTGTTCTGGCCTTTTATTTTTTGTTAAGTATTTTATTTTTAAAAAAAAGAGAAGAAGAAGGAATAGATTCTCAATTCAAATACAAAGATGAACATTTCGTTTCTTATTTGTACTGAAGTATTTACCCAGAAAAATCAGAGCCTGGTATTGAGTGCAGCATTATGCATTTCTGCACATTAACTCATGAATATTTAAATATATTAAAATAGTGGTTTTGCAAAGTCTTGTTTTATAAGGCCCTTTGAAAGAGAAACACCTAGATCACAAAGGCCTTGTTGTTAATGTGAAACAGATTCAGTATAACAAAAATTTCATAGAAAATGTAGTCACCTTGGTTCTGTTTAAATTTTATTCCGGAGGGGCTGATGGAAAAGAGGACATTATTTAGAAGTTGGGTTGCACTCAAATGAATCATAGGTATTTAAAATTACTTCCCCAACTCCTATCTTATGTATATAAACTATCACCCTGAACCCTGTGGCTTAGACCAGTGGTCAGTGAAATCATTGTCCATCGCGGTGGCCTTCCGTGGGAACCACTCTCAGCCCCTTCATTCCTTCAAATGTTATAAAACACCCAATTTGCTAAGAGAAGAAAATATGCAACTCCTGTTGGTGTGCAATGTACTTCATCTCAGGTCAGAGAAATGTACCAATCCGACATCCAACATGCAGCAGAACTCTTGTGTGGCGAGTCCCTGAGGGACTTCTGTAGACAGATGAGTACTAGTTCCCAGGGAGTTGGTCAGGACTGGGGGGTCAGTGTTCAGTCTGCTTCATCCCGAAGGTCTGACCCATTTGCCCACTTCTCTCTGCAAACCAGACCAAGGCTGGTTGGTCTGAAGGGTATGGGGCTCCCTGACGCAGTCTCCAGCAAATCAGCGTAGAAATAGCTTTAAATTCATGTTCTCTTGATTCACATGTAAAAACAACTCCTGCCTTGCTAGGTTCCTGAAACTCTGCCCTGAAGACCCAATGCCCTAGTTAATTGTTTGATTCCTGTGCATTGAGACACAGTTGTTATTTTTAAATAGTGGCTGGAAAAAACGACATTAACAGCATTTAAATCGTGTAGGTCACACGCGTAAGAAATTCAAGCACATTATCACATTGTTGCTACAATGACTACGATAAATGAAAGAAGCCTCAGTTCAGGCCAGCATAAGCTTTATTGGTTATGCCTATATGAAGATGTGGTTAATTAATAGATTTTCCAAAAATGATTATTTACCTTTTCAAATTTCATAGAGATTTATAGTACTCATCTAAAATACATGTAGGAACATAGATATGAAAGTTCAGATAAAATGATTTTCATGATATCCTTATCATTCTATATGCATAGGTCAGTCTCTGCTTGATAAATTTCTAAAGGTCTTGATTTTTTTTTTCAAGGGAGCTGTGGAGTTAGCAGTAGGACATTTGTCAGAACACCAGAAGCAGCCCCAAGGGACCTTAGTCCCCCTGTGCTTAAGGCCCTGGGGTCAGCTTGCATAGAGGTGACATGGAAGCCACCCAGACATCCCAATGGAGTCATTATCAACTACTTCATTCACAGGTAACGTTGACTGTTACTGTGGCTTTTACCTGTCAAAGAATGTGGATTATTCTAAGACTGTAGAATTAAATCTGTATTCTGTTTCCATTAGGGAAACCAGAATTTATGATTCTGCTGGGAATTTATGATTTTGGGAGCCCCTGTAGGGACTAAAAGTAGTGTTGGAAACATTTACCCCTTATCCAAAGGATAAAAGCCTCCACTACCATGTACCATTTTTTTTTTTAACGCTGTTTGAAAGATGAGACCTTAGAGCTACCTGGGCCTTCTTTTTGGTGACGTGGTAGCACATCCTAGAGGCTCCCTGACCTGGAGGACCTGGTTGTTCCAGAGGAAGAGCCGGGTTTCAGACAAGACTTCTCCTATTTCTGGTCACCTACCACGTGAATGTGGGCAAGGCCGTTTCTCATCCTTAGAAGCTAGGGCTTTTCAGTTGGAGAAAGAGAAGCTCCAGTCTATGGTCCCCTCTGTTCTGATGAGTTCCCACTGTGCTGGCTGATGGTGTTCGTGCAGCTTCTTCTCACTGTGCTGTGCAGAACTGATTCAGTGTGTCCACCCAAAGTAGAGAAGAGAGGGGAAGAGAGGGGAGGGAAGAAGGAGAGCAAGGGGAGGAAGGATATGGGGTGGGCAGGGAAACCAAGGGGGGCAGAGACTAGACACATTTTGGCTTGAAGGGTTATCGCGCTCCTTAATCATGTCTTCACCCAATCAACATGGCAAAGCTTTAAATTCATATTTTCCTTAAATAAATAATGAGGAGGAGGAGAGGGAAGGATACAGAGAGGGAAGGACTGAAGAAGAGAAAGAGAATGAGAGAGGGACAGACAGAGCAGGGAGTGGGAACAAAATAAAACAAACAGTCAAGCACTTGTATCAAGCACTTGGGCAAAGCACTTGTCAGCTACCGACTGTCTCTCTCTATCTCTATCTCTCTGTCTTGGTTCATGTGGCTACAGCAAAAATACCATAAACTGGGTGGCTTATAAACCACAAACATTTAAAATTTCTCCCATTCTGCAGAGTCCAGGTTCCAGGTGCTGGCCAACTCAGTGTGTCACGAACGCCCACGTCTGGTGTATAGTGCAGTCATTTCACAGTGTGCTTCTCTAGTGGAAGCAGCTGGGGGCTCTGCAGGGTCCCTTTTATAAAAAAAAGGCCCCACTCATGAGGGCTCCAGTCTCAGGACCTCGTCACCTCCCAAAGGCATCCATCCCATCAGGGGTTAGGATTGAACATGAATTGGGGAGGGGGCCCAGCCAATTCCCACCATAGCACTATCCAAGACAGAGAAGACCATGCAAGACAGATACGGCAGGCATAAACCATTTGCAGACAGAAAACCCTGTTCCAAAAGCAATGCATTTGCATCAGGCATCAGAGGACAGAGAGCACAGGTTTTCTCAGATCCTCATCTCCACTTCGGCATCCTTTATTAGCCTCTCCAACACCCTCATGTTTTGCCTCGCATGGTCCAGTGGCCTGAGTGCATCGTGAAACTGGGATTAGGTTCCTCCGCAGCGTCAGAGAGTGCAGCATCTCAGTTCAAAGCAGTCTTCAGTGACAAGCTAAGGGTTTGTTGGGAAATTATGGAAGGGAAAGCACCGTCACATTTTTGGTTACGCAGGTGGCAATGCTGAACATGAGCGCGCCAAATTTCTTCCCAGCTAACCTTAATTTGAAGAATAGTATTTCTGATTCGGATACACAGGAACATGTAAAAATGGCTCATGCAAATTTACATTTTCCACTAAGCACATCCGTGCAGGCTCTGAAATGTCCATCCTCTTGGAATAGTTTTCCTTCATCTACTTAATGCTAATTGCATGAGAAAACCACATCCAATTCCTATTCTGAATCAGGGGAAATAAAGTATCTGTTATAAACCAGGATGTGGCTTCACTCTGTTGGTTTTGTAAATAAAGCTTATGATTACGGTGGCCATTCCCCAGCAGCTATAGAGAGGGAAAACAGGAAATATAATGCAGAAAGCCCGCTTCAATGAAAAATACTGTAAATTGAATTTGACAGCGTTTGATGGCATTTGATTATTCCAGTCACAGCCAAACAATGATATAAAGAGTAATATGAAACAGAATGTGTTACTGCCTAGCGGACTCAAAAGCAATAAACCTTCCTCCAATGTGACACAATCACTTCACAATCATAATTGTAGCCTGTTTGATACCTCCGAGTACAGGAGAAGGGCACTGACTGACATAGATACATTTTGTTTTTTATTTAAAGTGAAATGAAAATGGCGCACTGGGGCTCCAGATACAATCATTATACTCACCTACATAGGCATGAATCACTTGGCGGTTATTCCGGCTGAAGTTTAAATGGGCTCCGACAACAACAATATCAAATTTTTCTTAGATAGCTGCAAAAAAAATCAGGAATTTGTAAGGACAGAAATGGAATGTAGACAGAGAGTTCTTTTTCACTCAGGGACTACACAGAGCCCCTTCCATAGTTATGGCTGCAGCCCGCAGTATTTCTGGGGAGGAGAAGACATGTAATTTCTGCTTCGTTGTTCGCCTCCTCTTTCTTCCATCACCGCCAAAGGAAGCGCACTGAGCTCAAACCCCAGACAGGGTTTGGCTGATGCAGATATTTTCATTAAGTTGCCGGAAGCCAGCTTGCCGGTCCCACTTTGAACATGATTGTCACTCTGTTGTTCCCGCCCCCAAATGACTTCTCCCCAGTAATTCCCTTTTGTTGCTAATGATGACGTCCTATTAAAAAGTATCTGTCCCAATAAAGAGGTGGGATGTTTATGACTAAGAAAACAAACCAATAACCTAGTATGAACTAGACTCTTAATGTGACTGCTTCCGTCTGTTTCATTTACCGGCTAATCGATACAGCTGTCCCTCACCTCCCCAAGGGGAATATGTTTCAAGCCCCCCAGTGGATTTCCAAAACCACAGATAGTCCTGAACCCTATCATTAATAATTTTTCTTATACATACATATCTATGATAAAGGTCAATTTATAAATTTGGCACAGGAAGAGATTAGCAATGATAGTAATAAAATAGGACAGTTATAACAATATGCTGTAATAAAAGTTACAGGGTTGTGTTCTCTCTTCATCTCCGTGTTAAAATATCTTACTGTACTGCACTCAGCCTTCTCACTTAAAGGAACACTCAGTGGCCTCTCTTCGGCTGTGCGAGCTGCCAGCTTCACCACTCTTGCACTTTGGGGCCGTGAGTGAGTGAAAACAAGGGCAACTTGAACACACGCACCGCGGACCCCACAGCAGTCAACCTGATAACCTCGGAGGCTCCTGAATGCACTACTCACAGGCTGCGGAGGGTACTCTGGATGAAGGGACGATCCACACCCCTTCGGGTGACGAAGGGCAGGCCAGTGCGAGACAGCACAAGATCGCATCACACTGCTCAGAATAGCACACACTTTAAAACTCCAGGATTGTTGATTTCTGGAATTTTCCATGTAATATTTTTGTACCGTACCTGACCTCAGGTGCGTTGGAAGCAAAATCCCAGAGAACAGGGACTGCCGTATTTTATTTGGGCGGCTTTGTTGATTGTGTGTGAGTCACAGAAGAGGAGAGTTCCTATCACTGGGACAACATTTATGCTAGTGTTTTGCAGCCTTTTCAACGACAGGGTGCAGGCAAGGCCATGGGCATTTGCTTTCTCTTCACAGTATGTTTGCTTTATATAATGAAGATTCTTCAGTATTCACTCTTTATGTTATATCTGTAACCTCGTAATGGAAAAAGTCTATCTACGAAGCCCAACTTCCACCCACAGAGTGGACCACACTGTTTAGGAGGCTCGTGTAGACACCACTGCTGTCCAGGCACATGGGAGCGTTCCCAGAAGTGCAGGTGCTGGGAAGCCAAAACGTTCCCGAGCCTCCCTTCACTGCGGCAGTTGCTTTATTCCCGTGGTCTGGAGCTAAACCTGCAATATCTCCGAGGTATGCCTGTAAGTCACTACAGTTTGAACAGGATTAAGTCTTCAGAATTTGGGGAGATCTTTGAAGCTTCTTCCCCTGACACCAGAGCATCGCTCCCTTCATGACACTGCCTCATTCAGCCCTCACAAAGCATTTGGTAAATCCCTGGCGCTGCTTCCCTTTCCTCTACCCTCAGCCTAGCCCGGGGTCTGCGTTTATTCCCATGTGGCCTGCCGAGGTGACCTCCTCGCCATGTGACCACCTGCCGTCAAAGGCAGCCTTCACAGTGCGATGGAATACGTCTTCCTAAGTACCGCTTTGGAACTTGATCTCACTGATAACTCATTTGTATCATGTATTACACTCACCCCGTGGTTGTCGTGTGCATTCTTTGACTTACTACTGGTAATTCTTACAGAAATTCTAAGAGAGGATACACTATAAGTTCATCAAGTCTAGTTTAAGTGGCCTTGGGCTCATCTGTATGAATGAGCCCAAGGCCACTTAAAAATTAAATGATGGGCTGGAGACCACCTGTCTCCTCTGACCACAGGGTGGGTGTTTCTGGCTATGTATTCAAATTGGTGGTATTTTTAATATTCGTTTTGAGGTGACAGTGGCGGTTTCATAATCTTAATGTATTATGGGAAATGCATTGAGTTATAGGATTTGACTTTAATTGCTTTTGAAGATAAGCGCTGTCGGCGGGGAATGGGGGAGAGCTCTTTAAAAGGTTCCACAGAGTAAGGCAAAAGAAGTATGAGTAGCTTTTCAAATAAATGGTGCTTCATTGTAATACCCACTTTTGTTTTCCTTGTAGTGTTAAGATTAAATTAGCTCTAGTTGGAAAAGGGTATAATTGAAGTAAGCTTAAGCATAGAACAACAATTGGCTATTCAGAGAGATCTTGAGATGGGATTTCCATTGACATAGACTGTTCAAAAGGAAACACTTCCAGTTGAATGAATACTTAGCCTACATCTTAAATAAATTAGGAATAATTGTGGTCTACTCAACCTCTTTTGTTCAGAGTTTATTGACACAAAGATATTCTGTTTTTTAACCCCACAGATGAAATATTTACCTCACCATAACATTAATTTATTAAGTATTCAGTAGTGATAGGAAATACTTAATCAGGCCGCATTCTTTCATTGGATTGGCGAATAAAAATTAAAGTTAACATAATGCTGCATCTCTTATATAGTTTTTGCTTTTTTTTATCCTCACCTAAAAGCATGCTCATTCATTTTAGGGAGAGGGGAATGGAGGGGGAGAGAGAGAGTGAGAGAAACATCAGTGTGAGAAAGAAACATCAATCAGTTGCCTCTCATCACACTCCCTGACTGACCAGGGACAGGACCTGCAGCCCAGGCATGTGCCCTGACCAGGAATCAAACCCATGACCTTTCAATTTACAGGACAGTGCTCCAACGAACGGAGCCACACCAGCCAGGATATAGACTTTTAAAATTCACGCTTTCAGGCAATTTTGTTAACAGTGTCAGTTCTGTGGCAACCATGACGGCACCTCAGTGTGGGAATGCATGAGAGTTTAATAAAAAAATTAATTGAATTGCCAGGGGAAGGTTGAAGTCAGATGGTGGACAATGTTCTTTCCCCATAGAAGAACAGTGTGCTGGTTTGCTCTATTGTGTTCCTAGCAAATGCCTTTGAAAAAGCTCAATGAGAGGTGATGTTGGCTTTGAGCCTTGTGGTCCTCATTAGAATGGATCCCTCCCAATGACACACCTGGTACCCGGTATCTGCCGCAAGTACAAAGGCCAAACCCTGTGAACCTACACTGAGTACAGAATCTGGCCCGGGCAGGGCAGCGAGGATAACGAGGTGGGTTGCCGACTGGTAATTGCAGGTCACTGAGAGACACCTAGGAAGCCTCTGCAACCTCCAGCAGGGAGCTTGTCATTGCCCATCCTTAGGTCGCAATGATTTATCAACTTGGGGATCATCACATTCCTAAAGCGAATGACTTTAAATATCCTTCCTTTTTGGGAAAGGTACTGCCATTGACTTTGTCTTAATAACCGTTTCTGTTTTCATGGTTAATCTGATCTGGCAGGATGTGAACATGTCAGTGGATGAAGGGTATGTTAATTAAAGGTTCCTAAGGTCCTAGCAATGCTGATTTATTCATCAGTCACTTCTCCATGAGAGGGCAAGCTCAAGAAGGGGAGGGTCAGCTGTTGGGTGCATTTCTTTCCAACCTCGATACACCCCCTGATAGGGAAAAGGGGGGCTGATCGAGATGACGCTAACTTGCAGAAAAGCTATGAAACTATATGCCATTCATCTGAAAAAAATTACTGAACATTGCCTGGGCTCCAAAGTGGGGAATACGGAAATAAACCAACCACCCGTCCTCAGGAACGCCCCCTTGTGGCCAGGTCTGCATTGTGATGCTGCATCTGGCTGAGCAGAGAACTGTCCCAAGTGAAATAACAGATCCTTGGCTGTCCCAACGCCCGACAGTTTCATTTCCTCTCACTTAGATGTTTAATGCTCTCTGTGTTGGGTACCAGAAGAGTGTACATGGGCCATGGTTTTGATATCAGTACATTGGAAAATGGAGCCAAACATTCCCCTGTCAGGCAGTCGAAAGAAGAGTTCTGAGCCTACTCTGTATTTTTACGAGGCTTTGGAGAGGACATCTAAAAGGAATTTGATGTTTGCCCTTTAAAGATCTCTGAAGCAAATTCTTATATGACTGATCATGTAATTTTTTATTAATTTGCATTTCACTATATCTCTCTACTCACCATGAGCTCCGTTGGATAAGGAGCTCATCCTGGTACATCTCTGCTCTTGCTACAAGGCCCAGGGTAGAATAAGTGTTCAATAAAAGGTTTGTTGATGAGTCTAAAAAAAAAAATGGCCCTTACAAGGGAACATTATGGCTTAATTCAAGAAGAGATCATTCATCTAAAGAGAAAGAAGTGACATGCAGGTCGTGAGTTTAAAATACTTTCAAGACATCCTGGAAACCAATGTAAAGCATCACTGTGGTGCTAAAAGGGGATAAGACTGTGGACCTCTCTGCAAGGTTCCTCCTTCTAGCCTGGGCTTTTTTACACAAGATCATGCGGGTCTCGGGGAAGCAGAGGGTCAGCCTCATGGTGCAAACACTTGTACCTTCATCATGTCTGTGAATGCCCCACTGGCCAAAGAGAGTCAGAATGAGTTTAGGGGCAGATTAGCCAAAGGTGTGGTACAGGGAGATTTAAACAAATGGGGACCCTCACTGCATTCCATCCCCCATTAAGGGGAAGGAGCTCCCCATAACCTTGGCCTCTGCTTATTGGTTGGTAGGGTTCCAGCCATGCAGGAAGGAGACCCCCCCCCCCAAATAACCGCCTGTGCACAGGTACACACACATGCACCTAGGTGATTGACAAAGAAAGTGCTAACAGTGCTTACGTATGGGCTGCTGCAGTTTCAGATTTTTTTATTTTAATTTTAAATGATACTTTTAATGTTTTATGTATTACATGTGTAGTTTTTTAGAGAAAAATGTCAAAGTTAGTACAAGAAAATGTGATTATGGGTGATGTTTCACTTTTTAAGGTTAGCCACGTTATTTCTTTACACACACACACACACACACACAATACTCACATGTGATACATTTTTACGATGCTATTTGATCAGGCCTCTGGTCTCCATCCAGTCTCCATCATGACACCTGGAAGAGACTGTTGGAAAGTTGAGCTGGTAACAAAATCTTCTCAGAAGCCATTTCTTACTCTCTCTGCAAACCTGGTTTCCAGGCCAGTTGTCCCTGAACCCCTTCTTGGTTTCCTTCCAGACGTCCTGCTGGTGTTGAAGAGGCCACCCAGGTGTTCGTCTGGTCAGAAGGAGCCCTTGAATTTACTGATGCTGGCGATACCCTGAGGCCTTTCACACTCTACGAGTATCAGGTCAGAGCCCGGAACTTCAGGGGCTCAGTGGAGAGCCTGTGGTCCTCGGCACGCACGCTGGAGGCCCCACCCCAAGACCTGCCAGCGCCCTGGGCTCGAGCCACAGGTGCTCACTCGGTTCTGCTGAATTGGACGAAGCCAGGCTCTCCCAACGGCGTTATCTCCCAGTACCACGTGGTCTACCAGGAGAGACCAGACGACCCAACACTGAACAGCTCCACCGTGCATGCTTTCACAGTATCGGTGAGTACTGAGGGAAAGGAGCAGACACTTAGATTATCTGGTCATCCGGTAGAAATTCACTGCTTATCCGACTTGTCATTTCCAACTCAGGTTAAATAGATAGAAATTGTTTGCACGTGAAAAGAAGCAATGTGGTCTTGGGAATAGGATGCTGAACTGAGTAGAGGGCATACTGGGAACCAGTTCGCAGACCACAGTGTCTTACCTCAAGCAAAGACGTGACCCTCTCGTCACCTGATTTCTTGGTCTATTAAATGGGAATATTAATGGTGTCTCTATATTTCATGGGATGAGGCGCAGATAAAATTAGATACAGATTTAATTTTCTTTTTTCTTAAACAGCCAATTGTATCAGGTATTTATATCTATATAAGTATATTAATATACACAAACATAAGAATTACATAAATGAAAGTATCCCTTAGATACATGTCGATATAGAAATAGATATCTTTAGATACAGATGTGTGCTGTGATGTTGGTTCTTCAAGGAATAAAATTAAATTTCTAGATGTATCTGTGTAGATGTATAGATATACCATGTTATGTCACTGTCCTTATGCTTAATTTTTCCATATGACTAATAAGTAAGCAACACGTAAATGGAGGTGCAACATGTTTTAAGTTGTTATTTCAGAATGGGTGCTTTCCTTTTTGTTGGACATCTAAGTATGTTTATATATCAGAGTCTTTTAATGCTACCTCTCCTACATCCTTTGTCATCAGCATCAGAAGCAGTGTCCGTCAGTATGTATATGCAGTCCATGAGCAAATATATAACGTCTCACCGCATCCTTGGAATGCATGTTCTAAATTGCTACCCAGAGAATAAAAACTGAAATGCAAAGTAAAAATTGTCTAACTCAGAAACAAGGGCTTTCTGAGTGAGACAACATAATTTAAATGCATTTTATCAAAGGCACCAATACTGTAATGATTAAACTTCTGATGTCGTAAAATATGTTTCAGGAGTAAGAGCCTAAACACTAAATCTCCCAAAGCAGTTCTGTCAGAATTCCCTCGTGAAAGAGTCCCTAAGTTGCCCCTTTTCAGCTGGTTTCATTTTACAATACAAGACTTAAAGAACCTCATGGGCTCAGGAAGGCCTGTGGCCCCAGGCTTCAAGCTTCCCAGGGCCCTTTGTTCTCGGGCCCCAATACAGCTTCTATTCCAACAGCCCAGTCTGTATTGTTAAATTCTCTATCTTTTTAAAAATTAATCTTTTGCAATCCAAAGAGAAAAGCCAGAGTAATGAAGAACCAGTAATATTTCAGCATACTGTCTTTCAATGTAAAAGTGTTTGTGTGTGTGTGTGTGTGTGTGTGTGTGTGTTCAACGTGGCCCCCAAATCCAAATCTCTGGCCCTGCAAATCCCAAAAGAAGACTTTGTAGGTTCATCAGGAAGAGTCCCAATTGACCTAAATTTTTTAACAGGCGAGGACATCTTTCACAGAACAATCAGGGCAGCTCTTCTCATTCTGGTCACCAGGTCATTCTCCACGGCAGGAGGCCCCTATGAACTGACATCTTGAAAGGAAGTAATCAGACACATGATTGTCTATGATTTTCACCCATTTGTAGTGTACATTCCCAAGAGAATATGTTCATTGAAAAGTATCTAAAGAAGGAGGTTCTACCACTTAATTCCAATTCTCACCCTCAGAGAAGGATGTCCCCTTTGTGCCTAAGTCAGATCCCTTTCCCCAACTTAAGTCCATCTCTTCCCATTCAGAACGGCAGGACTTTCTCTAACTAGTGCAATGGATCTTCAGGGTCAAGAACAGGTTATCGACGATATGATCCAATTTGGCAAATAGTCATTGAGTACTACACTCAATATGTCAATTCTCAATTCTACACTGTAGTGTATTTATGAAGTCTCCCATGAAACTGGGTCCTTGGACAGAGCAGAGGCTGGGGGAAGGCAAGTCATCGAGTTGGAGGTGCAGATTTCTACCTCTGAGCATTTTGGGTTAAGTCTCTTTGCTTTAGAGTTCCCACGGCTCATGTTTCCATGAATCCCTTTTAAATCTTTCTCTGGGTGCCTTCCTGGCTCTACTCACTTTCTCTAATTCCTATACCAGCTAAATGTCTTCCCTGTCTCCTTCCATTTCTGCGCCTCCCCTAGGAGACCTTTCAAGCTTTCATTCCGTAGATGGCTTTGGCTGAAATTCTCCCAAGCAAAGGAACTGTACCTTCAATTCATGAGACACAGAACCCGTCCTCACGATGGCCAGGATGACATTGCAGTCCTCAGACTTGAAAGGGTGTCACTGATTCCCTTCATGTAGTCTCATTTATTGGGATCCCATCCCTGCACAAGGAGCCACCAATATGTTGCTGGGACAGAGTGCCACCACTAGCTTGTCCCAGAGTCCCCCCAGAGTTGTTTACAGACAGGTGGATGGTGCGGAGAGAGCCACATAAAACAGGTGCAGTGGATGCAGCATCCTCCAAAGGCGGCAGTGCACGGAGAACTGGCGGCCGGGCCTCTTGGGGGGGGGGGAGGCATATGTGTTGGCAGGAGCCACAGCAGCAGAGGCAGCAGGAGAGGAGAACTGGCAAGAGTGTGGGTTTGAATGTGTCACCAGCTTCCCTCCCTAGCTCATGAAGCTTCATCTCCTTTTGGGCCTAAGCAGGTCCTTCTAAGTGGATGAGAGAAAGACAGCTAGATGCTTAGGGTCTCTTTGGACCAATGCCCACCACTACTGAAAGCAAGCTTTAGGTAGAAGTCCTCAAACTCCCTTCCCTGGGAGCTCGGTGATGGATTGTGCGGTGTCAGGAGAGAAGCTGCATTTAGCCTCACTTGGCACACACGAGTTCCACGGCGGCATTTGCAGGGAACACTGCTGGCGAGCTGGGCCACCCTGCTGCCGCCATTCCAAAGGGTTTGCTTTTCCTCCCTGGCACCTGCCATTGTACTGGCAGAAATAACTTGGGACTTGAAGTTGAAGGTGGTTTACCTGTCAGCCTGCACTCTAAGTAGATCCTGCCTCGGTGCCAGGTTATAAAACATCGAGCCCAGATCAGGCATTTGCTCAGTGCCCTGAAAAGTAGATGTTTCTTCACCCTGTGTGTAGAAATCAGGCCTGCAGTGCTGAGGGGTAAACAAATTATATGGGTCGCTAAAAGTTGGCTTCCTTTCTGGAAGTAAAATCTAGAATTGCAAACTCAAGTCTCTAGATCCTGGTGGCCAGGCTACCTTGTCTAATGTCAAGGAGGTAGTCAAAATTTCCTCATGGGGTCATCTCATTTCTTTACCATTCGGTAGATATGGGGGGTGAGGGATCAGGAATGAGACTTCGTCATTGCCACATTATGGAGAGTTTGTAAGTAAATTGATAAATTTATTTTTAATTCCATATTGATTTTGGCTTAGTGTAATGTAAAACACTATTGCTCTTTATACATGATCTTAAGTTAGTTGGATCTCTTAACATTTGATGGTTCTTAGTCTTTTCTCCCCAGACCCACTTACAGGACAGCAGAAGTGTCCTGAGAGATCTAGCTCGCTAAAAAAAAAGACTCTCTTTCCAAAATGAAGAAGAAATTGGTAAAAGAAACAGTTACCATAAATGTCTGTATCAGTTTTATTAACTGAAATTTTTCATATTTCATTATATAACTGTGTCATTCACCCTTTTACATAAAAGCTATAAAATATATGTGGGTAAATGTCACACTAAACAATGACTATTTGTTGACACAGCACTTTTTTATTGTAATGATGTGTTTGGTTTGACATTAACTTTGCACTTATTAGATTTACATTATCTTTACCCCTTTTATTTTCCAATACTACCCTACCAATCACAAATATATATCAGGGATCTATTTTTAGCTCAGTATTATTGGGGATTGAGAAAAACTAGATCCATTTAAGTCTTCTTAAATATCAGGTAACTCCTTCTTTGAAAGAGCTTTGTTTCCCTCCAGCCCTTTTATTCCCACAGAGCTTCATCCAGCCTCTCCTGCTCACTCATCAGTAATTTCATGGGCAGGTCCCAGGGTTTTCTAGTCACTTTCAGTGACAGCCACCAGACCGATTTTAGTAATCAGGACTCCTTTGGGGTGTTTAAATATATCCACTTTAAAGCCAAACTGGTGTTAATGGATCTACAGTGTGGAAGACAGGGCATGTTCGTTCTTCTCCCTCTTCTTCTCTTGTGGATTTCCCTAGGATCTTGGCAGAAAAGATGGAAATAGACACAGAGGAGCAGAGCCTTCCTCACTAATATTGTTCTCATCCATCCATCATTGCTTCCAGTGGAGCAGGAGCCCCAAGGGCTCTTCTCTGTGGTTAAGTAGAGGTCCCCAGGGGAAAGCCCATGCTTCCTGGCCCCTGAAGCAGGCATCGCACTCCCTGGCTAACTCCTACACCCCTGAGGTCCGCCCCACAACCTCCTTTACTCCTGGTCACCCCTCTTCCAAGTAGCAGCCAATATCAGGGTCTGTCACATGTTCAAGGCTCATTCCTTTCTCGGCATCTGGTAGGCCTGGGGCAAACTTGGTCAAGCAAAGGAGGAAAATACAGCCTGTCTAGCAGTCACTTCTCCACATGACCTACCTCGCTGGCTCAGACCCTGCCAGCCTCACCACTTCAGAATTCATTGAATGAGAAGCGGGCATCTGCTTCTGGTTAGGCCAGATTCCCAAATCCTGGGGTCACCTAAGAATCTCAGAAGACCCTTCCTCTCCCCAGTGCCTGCATCAACATCACCCTGTGAGTCTTTTCATCTTGAGCAGAGTAGAATGTTCATCTCACCGTGAATTCAGAGATCCCTGATTCTTTCATGTTGTTCTCCTAGGTATCCCTCATAAGGCTCGAGAGAGGAATTAGGGTATCCCATTTCCTCCCGCACAGTAAGAAGGTAACCTGAAGAAGCTGCTCTACTGACTTCTCCTCTCTGACTTATTTTCCATCAACCTGGATCTTATATAGGTGGTCTTATGATGACATAAGGCTGATCCTTTCTGTCTGTTAAGTCCCGCAGAGAAAC